GAGAAATATCAGCGGTTCTGTTCTCTGGTCCATCTTCTAGACTTGAATATCTGCTTTCCTCATCCGTCCATCTGTCTCTGTCTTTAATCCAGGCTGATATTAGTTTGCATCATTGGTTATTTTATTATTTCCTTGGTTTTTTTTGTGTGTCTGGTAGACGTGAAGCTGAAGTTTTGTCTCGCTGCTGTTTTCTCTACAGAAATCATTTTCCAGATGCAGCAGTTCGGTCCGCCCGCCAGCGTCTGACCTCACCCGAGGATTAGCTGCTCGGACTCTTTTATTTTTCAATCTATTTTAAACAATGCCTTCAGATTAGCCCGCAGAGTCAGAGTGCATCAAATAAAGAAAATCGCATCAAATTATCCCATTAATATTATTATATTGCATCATTATATAATGGAACAAAGTGGTTGGGTTCAGTCATCCTGCTCAGCCCTCATCTATAAAGAAGCTGGATGAAAATTGGATTGGCCTGTTCAGAGCACCAAACAGAGGGACAGAGGGACAGACTCAGAGACACTCAGTGTCCAACGGCGGCGTCCATCTGTAAACAGCAGGCTCTTCAGTCCTGGATGAAGTGGGTTGAAAAAGGCCTCTGGGAGCCCATTATCCAATAATCCCGCAGCTTCGTGTCGTCGCTGTGTCTAATGGCTTGTTTTGTGGACTAAGTTAAGCTCTGAGAACAAGAACATGCTGAATAATAATAATAAAAGAACTGATGAAAACAGTTTAATCTTCCTCATAATGTGGCCGTGCTGGTCTAATCCACGTCTTCCTGGTCCTGCAGGATGAGATGCTGTTTAATCGACTTTGGGAGAATTAGTCATTCCTTATTACCGTCGTGGTTTTTACAGGACTTTCCTGGAAAATCCCATTCAACACACATTTTAATTTCATTTCTGTGCCACAGTCATGTTGAGGGCAATGTAAATAATCCAATAACATTAATCATCATTTCTTTCCCCCCCCCCTGAAATAGTCTGGGGCAGCGGTGGGATTGGATGGAGGGAGACGCTCCTGTTCACTCTTCTTTATTGGGTTTTAGAGGCTCTGATGGTTTTATAAAATATCATCATGACCCCAATTTACCGGAGCGGAGCGGCTGCATCCTCAGCCTTCAGCTTCAGTCACTGTTTTCTCTTCTCCCCCCCCAGCTGTATGTAGACCCGCACCTGCAGGAGTTAAACTGCTGGTTGTTCTCTCAGCACCTGAGGATGTGTGTGATGGTCCAGCAGCTGCTGCACACTTCAGATAATCGGCTGCAGAGACGATGGGTGTAAACTAAGATGCAGCCTAATAAGGATCAGAAAATAAGGCAGCTCAGTCCAGATGTCTAATCCACCCTGAAGCTGCGTCTTACAAGACCTCAGCAGAGGCTCCATGGGTTATGATGCTAACATGCTGAATTATGTCTGCAGAAATCCTCCCTAATAATCCTCCTGATGGGATCACATGACCCAGTTAGAGCGGCTGCAGCTTCCAGCTCCACCTTCAGGAGACGTTGGAGGAACGGATGCAGCACGGCCTCCACCTCCCAGCACGGACAGACAGGTTAGCTGGAACTGAACCTGATGTTCTCCAGATGTTCCTCCACTGGTCGCTGCGTCTCAGCAGCTCTCCATCTTCAGCCGCTTTCTGCCTCTATTGACATCTTAGTGTGATTAGTGTCTCAAACTGGCGGATGGTGTCCAAACGTGATTTGTGTGTAAATCTGCGGGCCGATTAGGAACCACTCAGCACCGCTTTGTTCTGCTGAACCATCAGAGTGATGAAAATAAAAAGCAGCAGAAGATTACAGAACCATTAAGGTCAGTGCAGCCATTAACTGATAAACAGCTATTAGAGGCTTACAGATGACATGACGGACAGGCAGCAGAGTGATGAAGAGGAGGAGGAGGAGGTGACGGCCCGGAGCTGCCGCTCTGCTCACACAGACCAAACATCATCTGAAGAAAAGGTCTGAAGAGAAGCTGAGACACAGAGTCTCTGATTGGCTGCAGGTCCATCAGGTGGGCGGAGCCTCAGGTCAATCAGCAGGATCATTTAATCCACAGTAATTGATCAGATAATTGATTCATTAGCTTCAAAAAATGTTAAAAAACAAACAATCCTCTTTCTCTTCCATCCAGGAAGCTTTTTCAATTCTAAATGTCAGAAATAGCGTTTAGTTCCAGGATTAAACCTGAGGTAACCAATTAAACTCAGATTAAAGATAATCATTAACCAGTAAAGGTCCGGAGACATTTTTAATTATAATCTGTTACTGTAAAACATACTTTAACTTGAAATAATGCCATACATTGATTTTTTTAAATAAAACATAACATTTTTCCATTTTAAAATCTAAAGTGTTTTTTTTAAAGTAGAGAACAACAATCGTTCAGTTTGGTTTATAGATAATTTCCTGATTCCCATATTTTCTCAAACCCCTGAACTGATGGTTTGTTGTTTTCTTTCTTTTTTCTGTCTTAATGTTGGCAGTGGGCTTTAGGCTGCCCTGCAAGGCTTTAAACCTGGGTTTAAATGGAGACTAAGCCATTCTCAAGCACATATCAAGGAGCTCATTCTGAGCCTGGATCCAGATTTATTGTTGATTCTGTTCATGGTGGAGAATCCTGCTTCACAGCAGCAGGTTGAGCCAAACATCCTCTAAATGTGCAGGCTCATCTTTGAGCACGCCATTTCACTTTTCTTTCACCAGTTCACCGCAGTTCTTCCAGCAGTCCACACTTTCTCTGCTCTCTTTTTCTCATGGTCTTCTCCTTCTTTCCCATCGCCCGGCTTGCCACAGGTTTGCCTGCTGTGTCTAAAAGTAGCAGCAGCAGCAACCCAGACTGACAGCTCATTGGCTCATTTGGATCACGTGCAGCCTGGAGCCGGACGCTCCCCAGGGCTTTACCGTATTAACAGGAGAAGAGGTGCAAGAGAACTTAGACACTGTCGTCAGACAACATGCAGTAATTTATAAATATTTTAAATCAGGTTGGATCCGGATCAGCCAGCAGGTGGATCCGGATCCGCCAGCAGGTGGATCCGGATCCGGACCGCGGTCCGATAACCTGTCATCTCTGGTTCATACGGTCCTCTTGTGATGTGTTGGTTTCTTGTTTAATTGCTGCTTTCTGTTGTAGTTAATTGAATTTAGCTTTTTATCTTTCTTTTGTTTTCTGGTGCTTTGAAAAGCTCAACCTTATTAACAAACGTGACCACTTCTTCAAACAAAGTTTCATGGAGAAGGTTGGACAGCTTCTGCCTGTCTGATCTAGTTTGTTGATTGATTAGATTCACTGGCTGTTGTAATTCTAAAGGAACAGACAGAAAGCAGCGTGTGAACTGATACTGACACTCCTCCATAATATTTGGTCACAGCGATGATGATGATGATGATGATGATGACATCACCAAAAACCTCCACTATTGTTCTCTGTCCTGAAGGTCCGTCCTCTCTATGTCTATTCCTCCGCCCTGGAAGCCATGCTTTGCTTGGCGTGCGGCGTACAGTCCTTGTTGAAACGGTTACAGCACGCTGCTCCAGGCTGGTCGTCAGGCCTTCAGGTGTTCAACATTTGGACCAACTTCAAAGACTCCTGTCATCGATGTTTCTCCACCAACCAGACGTCCAGATCTTTACAGCTGGATGCCTTACTATCATTATGCAGCATAGAAACAGGTGGACCCACTGCAGTTAGCTTAGCGACGTGACATTGCGGAGGAGGATGCCATCCTCTACCTGCTGCAGGGGGCGCTCACCCACCTGGAGACCATCGGAGCGCAGTGAGAGTCGTGTTTTTTGACTTTTCCAGCGCTTTCAGCACCATCAGAGCAGAGCTGCTGAGGGGGAAGCTGGAGGACGCTGGAGTGGACAAACATCTGGCTGCCAGGACCATCAACTACCTCACTGACCGCCCTCAGTACATGCTGCTGCACGGCTGTCAGTCAGTCTGCAGTACCGGGGCCCCCCAGGGCCTCTTTCTGTCTCCGTTCCTCTGCACCCTTTAAGCCTCAGACTTCACCTCCAACATGGACAGCTGCCATCTGCAGACGTTCTCCGATAACTCGGCCATGTAGGCTGAGTTTCTGGGGAAGGAGCTGGAGTATCGATCATGAACTTTGTGGAAAACAAATAATAAAAAAAACATTACTAAAATATAAAATAAAAAAAATAAAAATAAAAATAAAAATTTCTTATTATGGGATGTTGATATCTGTGCAGTTAAGTACGATTGCTTTCAAATTATTAAAATAAATGGATCTAAAGATATTTTTCCAGGTACTTTTAGTGATAAACTCTAAATCAGAGTTATTAACATTTAATGAAAATATGGAAAAGATGCAAAAATCATCAGAATTAATTTCAATATGTGTATTTAAAAACATTGGTTAGTTATTCTTTGCTGTGGTCCCTTTTGCAGGTTGCAGATCACGTTTCAGACCATCTGGGATTTACAGATCAAACAGGAAGTGCTTTTAATCTGAAATCTCACAGTTTCCGGTCTCTACGTTGATTAATAAAATAAAATAAATGGAAAAAAACCCGGTGTTGGAGCTATTTATTCTTTATTTCTTTATTTATTTGAATTGTGTTAATTCCTAAACTTATATATTTTTTGTATTATTTACAGACTTAATTTATAGGTTAATTGTTGCATTTTTGTGCATCTATTTTTTGTTGTTTTATTATTTTTCTTTATTTTATGTAAAACAGGAAGAAATGTGGGCGGTCCACTTTCTATAATTGTAGGAGCCTGGTAAGGACCAGCAGGCATTTGGGTTAGGGGCCTATGGGTTTTTACCAGTGCAAGAGAGGTAACAGGGCAAGGAAAGTTTGAACTCTGTAATGTGACAAAATATAGGAAATAAATCAACTGAACATCTACAAGTTTGGACTTCCACTTCTTTTGCCTGCGTCAAGAAAACGTGACCCCAGTGCCTATAGTGGCTTATTGGAATTTTATTGGATGTTTGGTTTGACAAACAATTGCCACTACACCCGGGATGAGTGGCTGCATTTGAATCCACGCATTACTGGCCACGTCACCCCCCATGGAGCGCGACGTCATCAGGGCGCGCCGCACCGTAAACACAGGAATGTAGTTCTACCGAAACTTTACCGTCATAGCTGCTCATGTTAGCCAGCAGCGGACCGGTTCCGTTCGGCTCCGTTCGGTGGTTCTACGGGCTCATTTCCGGTTCACACTGCGGCTTCATCATCATCATCATCAAAGCCAGGCGAAGCGGTTGTTTCCATAGAGAAAAGTCAGAACTTTGCTGACCCTCCAGGCTTCCGTAGATTCTCCAGCGACCAGAAACCAGACGTTTCCTGCAGGAGGAGGTGAGATCAAAGCTTTGTCTCTCTGAGGGTCACTGGCCCCCAGTTCCACCTGAGAGGAACCTTCAGAGGAACTGGTTCCATCTCCTCTGAAGGTTCCTCTCAGCCTGATGTCCCATCAGAGCTCGGAACCAACTGGACCATCTACAGGAGAACTATAAGTGGTTCTGATCTAAAACTGGGTCAGAACTCAGACAGAAACCCGAACGGACGGTTTCGGTGGTTTGGGTCGAACCGAGCCTGAGACCAGATTCTGGTTCCGAACTTATCATATTCAGACCCATAGAACCAAACCAGATCTCTGGGTTTAAACGTAGTACCGTGTTATGGACCAATGAAACCTCAGCAGGGCACGGTGGTGGCAGCATCATGCTGAGCAGCTGCCTCCCATAATCAACCAGTGGATTTTGATCCATTTTATTAGATAAGCTGATTCTGAACTTCTGTTCTATGGAAACTGAGCAGAGCTGCGTGGTTCTGAATCCCTCTGAGTGCCGATCAGTCCAAATGTTGGTTCCGTTGGTTCTGGGATCCATTTGAGATCTTAGTTCATTCATAAAGATGAACCTAAATGACCCAAAACTGGACCGGTTCTACAGAAATTTATTTGTGGGTGTGACCAGGAATCTGAACCTGAAGAACCGGAACAACGGACCTGATACCAGCTGATAGCTGCCATGGCAACACGGCTCCGAGGTTCTGGTTCAGGCTGCGGTTCTGTTCAGGTCAGACTCGGCTCTGATGTTCTGCATCCTGCTGCGGTTCTGTTCAGGTCCGACTCGGCTCCGAGGTTCTGGTTCAGGCTGCGGTTCTGTTCAGGTCCGACTCGGCTCCGAGGTTCTGGTTCAGGCTGCGGTTCTGTTCAGGCCCGACTCGGCTCTGAGGTTCTGCATCCTGCTGCGGTTCTGTTCAGGTCCGACTCGGCTCCGAGGTTCTGGTTCAGGCTGCGGTTCTGTTCAGGTCAGACTCGGCTCTGATGTTCTGCATCCTGCTGCGGTTCTGTTCAGGTTCGACTCGGCTCCGAGGTTCTGGTTCAGGCTGCGGTTCTGTTCAGGTCCGACTCGGCTCCGAGGTCCTGGTTCAGGCTGCGGTTCTGTTCAGGCCCGACTCGGCTCTGAGGTTCTGCATCCTGCTGCGGTTCTGTTCAGGTCCGACTCGGCTCCGAGGTTCTGGTTCAGGCTGCGGTTCTGTTCAGGTCCGACTTGGCTCCGAGGTTCTGGTTCAGGCTGCGGTTCTGTTCAGGTCCGACTCGGCTCCGAGGTTCTGGTTCAGGCTGCGGTTCTGTTCAGGTCCGACTCGGCTCCGAGGTTCTGGTTCAGGCTGCGGTTCTGTTCAGGCCCGACTCGGCTCTGATGTTCTGCATCCTGCTGCGGTTCTGTTCAGGTCCGACTCGGCTCCGAGGTTCTGGTTCAGGCTGCGGTTCTGTTCAGGTCCGACTCGGCTCCGAGGTTCTGGTTCAGGCTGCGGTTCTGTTCAGGTCCGACTCGGCTCTGAGGTTCTGGTTCAGGCTGCGGTTCTGTTCAGGTCCGACTCGGCTCCGAGGTTCTGGTTCAGGCTGCGGTTCTGTTCAGGTCCGACTCGGCTCTGAGGTTCTGGTTCAGGCTGCGGTTCTGTTCAGGTCCGACTCGGCTCTGAGGTTCTTGTTCAGGCTGCGGTTCTGTTCAGGTCCGACTCGGCTCCGAGGTTCTGGTTCAGGCTGCGGTTCTGTTCAGGTCTGGTCTGGGCTCTGAGGTTCTGCATCCTGCTGCGGTTCTGTTCAGGTCCGACTCGGCTCTGAGGTAGCTCTCCGGTCCGGTTCTGGTCTGGGCTCAGGTTAAAGTTCTGTGTTTTTGGGCTTCGGTTCCAGGTGGACCCAGAATGAGCGGCGATGAAGAGATCCAAGCTGTTGGGCCTCTTCGTCTTCCTGGTTCTGCTGGTCTTCTACGTTCTCTACCTGAAGCACCACTCCTCTGTCACGCCATCCTACAGACTGCCTCCACACCTCCTACCCGGGTCGGGCAGAACCAAAGTGGACAGGTCCGATGGCTTCGTCTACGGCATCATGTTTGATGCTGGGAGCACTGGGACCAGGGTCCATGTCTTCAGGTTCCAGACTGAGAACCAAGGTACCCGGACTGCTGTGGTTCTCAGCTTTCAGTGCTTTGGATGATGGGGGACCGTGGTGATCTGGATCTGGGTTCTTCTTCCTCCAGGATCTCTGAGACTCGACAACGAGACCTTCAGTGCCATCGAACCGGGTCTTTCTGAGTACGCCGATGATCCACAGAAGGTACGTCTTCTTTGGCTGTCCTGAAGGAGACAGCTGGGCTGGACTCTATCCATGTCCTCTGGTCTGTCTCTACCGTGTCCACTGGTTTGTCTCTACCATGTCCTCTGGTTTGTCTCTACCATGTCCTCTGGTCTGTCTCTACCATGTCCTCTGGTTTGTCTCTACCGTGTCCTCTGGTCTGTCTCTACCGTGTCCTCTGGTTTGTCTCTACCGTGTCCTCTGGTTTGTCTCTACCATGTCCTCTGGTCTGTCTCTACCATGTCCTCTGGTCTGTCTCTACCATGTCCTCTGGTTTGTCTCTACCGTGTCCTCTGGTTTGTCTCTACCATGTCCTCTGGTTTGTCTCTACCATGTCCTCTGGTCTGTCTCTACCATGTCCTCTGGTTTGTCTCTACCGTGTCCTCTGGTTTGTCTCTACCATGTCCTCTGGTTTGTCTCTACCATGTCCTCTGGTCTGTCTCTACCATGTCCTCTGGTTTGTCTCTACCGTGTCCTCTGGTCTGTCTCTATCGTGTCCTCTGGTTTGTCTCTATCGTGTCCTCTGGTTTGTCTCTACCGTGTCCCCTGGTCAGTTTCTACCGTGTCCCCTGGTCAGTCTCTACCGTGTCCTCTTGTCTGTCTCTACCGTGTCTTCTGGTCTGTCTCCACCGTGTCCTCTGGTCTGTCTCTACCGTGTCCTCTGGTCAGTCTCTACCGTGTCCCCTGGTCAGTCTCTACCGTGTCCTCTGGTCTGTCTCTACCGTGTCCTCTGGTCTGTCTCCACCGTGTCCTCTGGTCTGTCTCCACCGTGTCCTCTGGTCTGTCTCTACCGTGTCCTCTGGTTTGTCTCTACCGTGTCCCCTGGTCAGTCTCTACCGTGTCCTCTGGTCAGTCTCTACCGTGTCCCCTGATCTGTCTCTACCGTGTCCTCTGGTCAGTCTCTACCGTGTCCCCTGGTCAGTCTCTACCGTGTCCCCTTATCTGTCTCTACCGTGTCCTCTGGTTTGTCTCTACCGTGTCCTCTGGTCTGTCTCCACCGTGTCCTCTGGTCTGTCTCTACCGTGTCCTCTGGTCAGACTCTACCGTGTCCCCTGATCTGCCTCTACCGTGTCCTCTGGTCTGTCTCTACCGTGTCCTCTGGTCAGATTCTACCGTGTCCTCTGGTCTGTCTCTACCGTGTCCTCTGGTCAGTCTCTACCGTGTCCTCTGGTCTGTCTCTACCGTGTCCTCTGGTCAGTCTCTACCGTGTCCTCTGGTCTGTCTCTACCGTGTCCTCTGTTCAGCCTCTACCGTGTCCTCTGGTCTGTCTCCACCGTGTCCTCTGGTCTGTCTCTACCGTGTCCTCTGGTCAGACTCTACCGTGTCCTCTGGTTTGTCTCTACCGTGTCCTCTGGTCAGACTCTACCGTGTCCTCTGGTCAGACTCTACCGTGTCCTCTGGTCAGTCTCTACCGTGTCCCCTGATCTGTCTCTACCGTGTCCTCTGGTCTGTCTCTACCGTGTCCTCTGGTCAGATTCTACCGTGTCCTCTGGTCAGACTCTACCGTGTCCTCTGGTCAGTCTCTACCGTGTCCCCTGATCTGTCTCTACCGTGTCCTCTGGTCTGTCTCTACCGTGTCCTCTGGTCAGATTCTACCGTGTCCTCTGGTCAGTCTCTACCGTGTCCTCTGTTTAGTCTCTACCGTGTCCTCTGGTCAGTCTCTACCGTGTCCTCTGGTCAGACTCTACCGTGTCCTCTGGTTTGTCTCTACCGTGTCCTCTGGTCAGACTCTACCGTGTCCTCTGGTCAGTCTCTACCGTGTCCCCTGATCTGTCTCTACCGTGTCCTCTGGTCTGTCTCTACCGTGTCCTCTGGTCAGACTCTACCGTGTCCTCTGGTCTGTCTCTACCGTGTCCCCTGATCTGTCTCTACCGTGTCCTCTGGTCAGTCTCTACCGTGTCCTCTGGTCAGACTCTACCGTGTCCTCTGGTCAGTCTCTACCGTGTCCTCTGGTCAGATTCTACCGTGTCCTCTGGTCAGTCTCTACCGTGTCCTCTGGTCTGTCTCTACCGTGTCCCCTGATCTGTCTCTACCGTGTCCTCTGGTCAGTCTCTACCGTGTCCTCTGGTCAGACTCTACCGTGTCCGCTGGTCAGTCTCTACCGTGTCCTCTGGTCAGTCTCTACCGTGTCCTCTGGTCAGACTCTACCGTGTCCCCTGATCTGTCTCTACCGTGTCCTCTGGTCTGTCTCTACCGTGTCCTCTGGTCAGACTCTACCGTGTCCTCTGGTCTGTCTCTACCGTGTCCCCTGATCTGTCTCTACCGTGTCCTCTGGTCAGTCTCTACCGTGTCCTCTGGTCAGACTCTACCGTGTCCTCTGGTCAGTCTCTACCGTGTCCTCTGGTCAGACTCTACCGTGTCCGCTGGTCAGTCTCTACCGTGTCCGCTGGTCAGTCTCTACCGTGTCCTCTGGTCAGTCTCTACCGTGTCCTCTGGTCTCTTTGCAGTGCTCTCCTGGCATCATGGAGCTCCTGAATGTTGCTAAATCCAGTGTCCCTCCCTCCATGTGGACCAGAACCCCTGTGGTTCTGAAAGCGACAGCCGGTCTGAGGCTGCTGCCTGGAGAAAAGGCCAACCAGCTGCTAGACCAGGTGGGACTGTCTGCTTGGTTCTGACCCAGTTCCTTAAACCAGGAACCTTTGGAAGATTCTGACAGAGACCTTCTTTAATCCCAGAACCTCAGTCTGATCTCAGAGCAGGATGGTTCTGATGGTCCGAACCAGACCTGGTTCTGCTTTGAAACTGACCAGCCGGGTCCATCAGAACAAATTTCATTCTGCAGGTTCTGGTTCTGAATGATCCTGACCCTGTGGTCTGTTCTCCAGGTGAGGGCGCTGTTCCAGGAGTCTCCCTTCCTGTCTGCAGAGGACAGCGTGTCCATCATGGACGGAACCGATGAAGGTAACATGGTCCACATGAGACCAACCGGGCTTTGGTTCTGTTACACCACCAAAACCATCCAGAAAGTTCTGGACTTTCCCCGTTTCTGTTATACATCTCCATGGCAACGCTTCACCTACAGTCTCCATTCCCATAGCAACAGGTGGAACCAGATGTTCTCAGCTTAGAACCGGGTCAGAACCAGAGGAGAAAGTTCTGAGGAATCAGGCTGTAACTGGAGGTTCTGGGGATTCGGGTCGCTTCACATACAGAACCAGAACCCGCGACCTTTGACCCTGAAGGACGTGATTAGAACGAGGAGAAGAATCTCCAAACAGAACCTCCAAAGAGCAGGTCGCTCCGGTTTGGTCCGAACTAGTCTGGGTCAGAACATCCACTTCAACGATCACTGAAGGAGAAGTGGACCGGCCCACAGAGATCATGGAGTCAGTTCTGGTTCTGACCCGTTTATCAGAACATTATGATGATCGACACTAAAAAGGATTAAATTCTGCAGAACCAACCGGGTCTCAGAGTCAGATTAGAGCCGGTCCAACTGGACAACAGAACCTTCATCTCTTTGTTCTGACTGGAATAGTGCCATCAGAACCGGGTCTGGGTTCTGGTTCTCACAGAGGCTGGTTGCTCCATGCAGTCAGAACCAGAACCGCCACCTCCAGCGGTTTTGCAGAACCCGGTCCACCGAGTGAACTTTGGATTGATCAGTCAGAACTTTCAGGAAGCGCAGCGAGTCGGACTCGGTTCTGCCGGGTCTGGAGATGTACCTGTGGTTCTGATCTGTTCTGTGCTGCTGAGAATCAGAACCTGACCTGCTGGTTTTCCTCTTCTCTCTGCAGGGATCGCTGCCTGGATCACCATCAACTTCCTGACAGGTGGGTCTGAACGGCACCACGCCTCAGGTTCTGAGGTTCTGATCTGCTGGAAACGGGTCGGTTTGGTTCTGAGGGTGCAGCAGTTATACTCGGAACCTAACTGGACCTTTAGGAGCTGGTTCTGAAGCCATTTTGGTTCCAGTTTGATTCAGCTTCACCTGAATGTTTCGGAACCAAAGTCCAGTTGGAACCGATGAGACCAGAACCTATTTGACAGGATTCTGGTAACCAACCGGGCCTCTCAGAACCAGCAGTGTTTACCTGGAACTGGAACTGATACGAGCAAAACCCGGTCCAGCTGCTGGTTCTGGTCCAACCTGTGGTCACCAGGGAAACCAGGCAGTTTGTTTTATTGAACCGTCCAGAATGTTCTGACTGCTGATTGGTCTCCATCCAGATGGTCTTCGCGGGTCAGAACCACCCAGCTTTGGGATATTGGACCTGGGCGGCGGCTCGACCCAGATCGCCTTCAGTCCTCGAGACGAAGTGAGGAAGGTTCCGAGTCGACCCGCGCGGAACCGGCGCTGGATCCACTCGGGCCAGCACGGCTCATTTCTCTGATCTACAATCTGATCTATTTATTCCTGTTCTATTTGATCCATTCTGGTTCTCATCTCTCTACAGAAAACCATCCAGATGTCCCCGGTTGATGACATCAGAACCTTCAGGATGTTCAACAGAACGCACACCGTCTACACACACAGGTTCACACCTCAGATCTAGAATCACAAATCTAGAATCTCTTATCTAGAATCATAGAGAGGAAGAACCACAGATCTAGAACCACATAAAGGAAAAAACATAGATCTAGAACCCCCAGAGACGTAGAACCAGAGAGATGGAACCTCATTTATAACAAAAGGATAGAAATGTAGAACCCGGAAGTAAAAAACTAGAACGTCAGACATTTCAATGTAAACCTCAGAGATAGAAATATAGAACTACATGCATAGAACAACAGAGGGACATGTAGAACTAGAGTGCCATAGAACCACGCTGACGGGTTCCTCCTTCTGTCTGCAGCTATCTGGGTCTGGGTCTGATGTCGGCTCGCCTGGCCGTGCTGCGCGGCGCCGACGCTCCGCCCCGTGAGTTCCTGACCTTCTTTTGGTTCCGGTTCTGCACTCGGCTTTCATCTCCGCCATCAGCCAGATAAATAAGCCATTATCTAATCTTTTAATAACTCGCTGCAAGATTAATTCCTTGCCTGGCAGCAGCTGCTGCTGCTGATCTGCTGTAAGAAGCTCGGCTCCACTGATCAGGGTCCGTCTCTGCAGCGGTTCTGATCCGTTTATTCTGACTCCAGCTTGTTTTTACAGTCAAACACATTAGAAGTGGTTTTATTGTTCCTCAGCAGAGGAGCATAGAACTAGATGGAGGGAACCGGTAGAACCGCTTCTGTAGAAGAAGAAAAACTGCTGCTGAGGTTAAAAAATAAAAAGGAAAGGAAAGAGCAGCTGGTCTGCAGAACCATGGGGAGACTATAACCAAGGATCTAGAGCAGGTAGTTCTACAGCAGGTAGTTCTAGAGCAGGTAGTTCTACAGCAGGTAGTTCTAGAGCAGGTAGTTCTACAACAGGTAGTTCTACAGCAGGCAGTTCTAGATCAGGTAGTTCTACAGCAGGTAGTTCTAGATCAGGTAGTTCTAGAGCAGGCAGTTCTAGAGCAGGTAGTTCTAGAGCAGATAGTTCAGAGGCAGGTAGTTCTACAGCAGGCAGTTCTAGATCAGGTAGTTCTAGAGCAGGCAGTTCTAGAGCAGATAGTTATGAGGCAGGTAGTTCTACAGCAGGCAGTTCTAGATCAGGCAGTTCTAGATCAGGTAGTTCTAGAGCAGGTAGTTCTACAGCAGGCAGTTCTAGATCAGGTAGTTCTAGAGCAGGCAGTTCTAGAGCAGGTAGTTCTAGAGCAGATAGTTCTGAGGCAGGTAGTTCTACAGCAGGCAGTTCTAGATCAGGTAGTTCTAGAGCAGGTAGTTCTAGAGCAGGTAGTTCTAGAGCAGGTAGTTCTACATGAGGTAGTTCTACAGCAGGTAGTTCTAGAGCAGGTAGTTCTACATGAGGTAGTTCTACAGCAGGTAGTTCTACGGCAGATGGTTCTAGAGCAGGTAGTTCTAGGGCAGGTAGTTCTAGAGCAGGTAGTTCTACAACAGGTAGTTCTAGAGCAGGTAGTTCTACAGCAGGTAGTTCTACGGCAGATGGTTCTAGAGCAGGTAGTTCTACAGCAGGTAGTTCTAGAGCAGGTAGTTCTAGAGCAGGTAGTTCTAGAGCAGGTAGTTCTAGGGCAGGTAGTTCTAGGGCAGGTCGTTCTAGAGCAGGTAGTTCTACGGCAGATGGTTCTAGATCAGGTAGTTCTACGGCAGATGGTTCTAGATCAGGTAGTTCTATAGCAGGCCTTTCTGGAGCAGGCAGTTCTAGGGCAGGTAGTTCTAGGGCAGGTAGTTCTAGATCAGGTAGTTCTAGAGCAGGTAGTTCTAGATCAGGTAGTTCTAGGGCAGGTAGTTCTAGAGCAGGTAGTTCTACAACAGGTAGTTCTACAGCAGGCAGTTCTAGATCAGGTAGTTCTACAGCAGGTAGTTCTAGATCAGGTAGTTCTAGAGCAGGCAGTTCTAGAGCAGGCAGTTCTAGAGCAGGCAGTTCTAGAGCAGGTAGTTCTAGAGCAGATAGTTCAGAGGCAGGTAGTTCTACAGCAGGCAGTTCTAGATCAGGTAGTTCTAGAGCAGGCAGTTCTAGAGCAGATAGTTCTGAGGCAGGTAGTTCTACAGCAGGCAGTTCTAGATCAGGCAGTTCTAGATCAGGTAGTTCTAGAGCAGGTAGTTCTAAAGCAGGCAGTTCTAGATCAGGTAGTTCTAGAGCAGGCAGTTCTAGAGCAGGTAGTTCTAGAGCAGATAGTTCTGAGGCAGGTAGTTCTACAGCAGGCAGTTCTAGATCAGGTAGTTCTAGAGCAGGTAGTTCTAGAGCAGGTAGTTCTGAGGCAGGTAGTTCTACAGCAGGTAGTTCTAGAGGAGGTAGTTCTAGAGGAGGTAGTTCTAGATCAGGTAGTTCTACAACAGGCAGTTCTAGATCAGGTAGTTCTAGAGCAGGTAGTTCTGAGGCAGGTAGTTCTACAGCAGGTAGTTCTAGAGCAGGTAGTTCTAGAGCAGGTAGATACATAGCAGGTAGATCCATAGCAGGTAGTTCTACATGAGGTAGTTCTAGAGCAGGTAGATCTATAGCAGGTAGTTCTATAGCAGGTAGTTCTATAGCAGGTAGTTCTACATGAGGTAGTTCTAGAACAGGTAGTTCTACAGCAAGTAGTTCTAGAGCAGGTAGTTCTACATGAGGTAGTTCTAGAGCAGGTAGTTCTACATGAGGTAGTTCTAGAGCAGGTAGTTCTAGAGCAGGTAGATCCATAGCAGGTAGTTCTACATGAGGTAGTTCTAGAGCAGGCAGTTCTACAGCAGGTAGTTCTAGAGCAGGTAGTTCTAGAGCAGGTAGTTCTAGAGCAGGTAGATCCATAGCAGGTAGATCCATAGCAGGTAGATCTAGAGCAGGTAGTTCTAGAAAAGGTAATTCTAGGGCAGGTAGTTCTAGATTAGGTAGTTCTAGATTAGGTAGTTCTAGATCAGGTAGTTCTACATGAGGTAGTTCTACAGCAGGTAGTTCTACAGAAGGTAGTTCTACAGCAGTTAGTTCTAGAGCAGGTAGTTCTACATGAGGTAGTTCTACAGCAGGTAGTTCTACAGAAGGTAGTTCTACAGCAGTTAGTTCTAGAGCAGGTAGTTCTACATGAGGTAGTTCTACAGCAGGTAGTTCTACGGCAGATGGTTCTAGAGCAGGTAGTTCTAGGGCAGGTAGTTTTAGAGCAGGTAGTTCTAGAGCAGGTAGTTCTACAGCAGGTAGTTCTAGAGCAGGTAGTTCTACAGCAGGTAGTTCAACGGCAGATGGTTCTAGAGCAGGTAGTTCTAGAGCAGGTAGTTCTACAGCAGGTAGTTCTAGAGCAGGTAGTTCTAGAGCAGGTAGTTCTAGAGCAGGTAGTTCTAGAGCAGGTAGTTCTACAGCAGGTAGTTCTACAGCAGGTAGTTCTAGGGCAGGTCGTTCTAGAGCAGGTAGTTCTACGGCAGATGGTTCTAGATCAGGTAGTTCTATAGCAGGCCTTTCTGGAGCAGGCAGTTCTAGGGCAGGTAGTTCTAGGGCAGGTAGTTCTAGATCAGGTAGTTCTAGAGCAGGTAGTTCTAGATCAGGTAGTTCTAGGGCAGGTAGTTCTAGAGCAGGTAGTTGTACAGCAGGTAGTTGTACAGCAGGTAGTTCTAGAACAGGTAGTTCTAGAGCAGGTAGTTCTAGGGCAGGTAGTTCTAGGGCAGGTAGTTCTACAGCAGGTACTGGTTCTCCTCGGTTCCCCATGAGGACCAGAACCAGAACCATCAGACAGACTTTGTGGAACACCATGAAGAACCAATGAGCTGCAGATTCAGGAGGTTCTAGGCGGAGTGGTTGCCATGGAAACATGTGACCAGGGGGTGAGGGGTGGGCACAGGAAGCAGGAAGTAGCCTGTATGACGCTGTTCTGTGCTTCCAGCCGTAGGGGGCAGCACTGAGCTGGTCAGCCCCTGCTTCCCCCCGGGGTTTTCTGGTCACTGGGAGCACGCCGACGCCGTCTACGCCCTGAAGGGTCAGAAGCCAGGTAAAGGGATCCCACTGGTCCCCATAGATCAGAGATTACCCAGCATGCAGCTGGGGCAGGTAGGAACCTTTGTGCTTTGTTTCAGGGGAGCCGGTTTATGAGGCGTGCCTGAACAAGGTGCAGAAATTTCTGTACAGGAAGCTGAGCAGAACGTCTGAGGCGCCAGACGTGGACTTCTACGCCTTCTCCTACTACTACAAACGCGCCGCTGACCTCATGTTCATTGGTAAGGAGGGACGCTGCTGCCCTGCGGCTCGTCTGCAATCACACAGGTCACATGACCTCAGAGTGGAACCTCCTCTGCTGGCTCCAGAACCACAGATAAAAAGAGCTGCAGTGAAGGTTTCTGATGTCATCAGGCCTCCAAAGCTGTTTTCAGGGTTCTGATTCTCTCCTCTGGTTGCAGGTGAGAAGGAGGGAGGAACCATCAGAGTGTCTGACTACATCCAGGCTGCTAAAAAAGGTGAGATGGCGCCCCCTGGCTGCAGAACCTCGGACCTGCAGGGACAGACTGCACTGATTTGCTTACCGTAAATCCTCTAATATAGGACGGGGCCTTTATTTCATTCAGGTGCATCTTGGTCCAGGCCATTATTGGAAGGAGGCCAGAATTAGAGGCAGGCCTCTATTTCTATTTGATCAAACAGACTACCAGTGGAATGAATAAAAAACAGATTTAGTCTCTTTGAACCTATAATATATAACTAATACGAGGTTCATTTATTGAAAGAGTACAGTTACCATAGTGATATACAGAACATTATTCAGACATCTTCCAGGCAATTTTTCTGCACGGCAATACGAGAAAACAAAAGCCTTCACAGAATGGAATCTTTGCAAACTTTAAAAAAATGGGACAAAAACTGTTCTGCCACACAGCGATATTTTATTTGTTTTAGGGTAAGTGGAAGTCGGCTACAGGTATCATATATCTGAGGGTGGATTCAGAACCACGAAGGCCAACTAAATTCTGTCATTTTAACGCTGTTCACCACAAAGCAAACGTAGTGCATTGTTAAAATTTTCCATGGTGATAATTATTCATAACAAAAGGCAACTTAAGGTTTAATCACCCTGCCGCTCATTCAAACTGTCACGTTTAGTTTGAAGTAAAACAAAAATCCTCCAATTCTGTTTAATCCTCCACTATTTCCTCCTCCTCTTCATCTCTCCTATAATCTCCTCATCACTTGTGGATCAGAACGATGGGGGCGACTATGATCTCTGTAAGGATGGGACCTTACATGTTAATGGCTTCCTTAGCAAACACTGCCCCCCTGTGGTAATTGTATGTTACTACTACAGGCTATTGAGGACTGGTTGGTTCTAATCATAGCCCTGGCCTGTATACGACCACTAATACCCGGCCACTAATGGAATACAGGCCATTATTAGAGGATTTACGGTAATTCTGGGCCTTCTCTGCAGGAAAGGTCCAGACGGGACCAGCAGAACCAGAACATCAGGGTTAGACAGGGAGGGAGGGTCCAATAAGGCCTGGTAGATGGACTGATGCGTAGAACTGAGTTCTGCGTTATCAGTCTGGGATGGCTGCCCTCAGCCTGTCTGTGAAAAGGAGGGATGTTAGTGGAATACTGTGAGCTGATTGGCTGATGTGCCAGCTAGTACCCGCCCTCCATAATATTCTTTCAGCCAATCACAGCATCACAATCGGATTCATCTGCAGCTCCTTCAGTGTTTTAACAACTAGCTGATAAATCAAACTTTTTCCAAATCCTGTCCTGAGAAAAGCGCAGACATTTTTCCCATCTATAACTGATTCAAACGCGGCATCGACAGGTGAGTCCTCCATCGTAGCCATGTTTGTAATGCCCCGCCAAGGCCCTTCTGACTGCTGTCATTCCTCCAGGCCCCGCCCCTAAAAACACGCTGGCACCTCATTGGTCCGACCAGCTGGTTGTAATGAGGCGGACATATTAGCGGGAGCCTTTCAACATTGATTTGTTGTGAGACTGAAAACTCGACAATCCAGCTTACATTTCACGGTCCGTTCTGGAATCCTAACGCTACGTTCAGACTGCAGGCAGGAGAATCAGCTGGTTTCCATGTAAGGTTGATGGTTGATGCATCAAGGTGCAGAAAAAGTTCCTGCACCATCAGAGCAGCAAAGATGCTTCAGCCGCGTCAGAACTAAACTAAAAGCATCAGAAATGAAGCAGCATGGCGTTTTAGCTGCTGCTGCTGCGTTCGCTCTGAACGTAGCATTAGAGGCTCAATTGACCCAGATGTTCTCCAGCTGCAGCCCACATGGTTCTGGTTCTGCTCCCTCATGGGGCTCCTGCTGTAGACCATATGACCCGCTCCTGGCCTGTGATTGGACGGCTCTAACCAGCTGTTTCCTGCAGAGTGCGGCGCTCCAGCGGAGCCGCAGAAGAGCCCTTTCCTCTGTCTGGACCTGGTCTACATCTCCGTCCTGCTGCAGGAGCTCGGCTTCCCGCCTCACAAGCAGCTCAGGGTGAGTCTGGACCCCCAGAACCAGAACCGATCTGTGACCCAGTTTGTTTCTGATTCTGCTGTTTGACCCGTCACAGCTGGCCCGGACCATTGACCGGGTGGAGACCAGCTGGGCCCTGGGGGCCACCTTCCAACATCTGGAGGCCTTGGGGAGACAATGAACCAGAACCACTGGATAGTTCTGCATCAGAACGGGCCCAGGTTCTGGAACCAGCCTCTTCCCTTCACCTGAGCAGGAACCAGCTGCTCCTGTGACATCACTTCCTGTTTTTGCAGAACTCTGAAAGGTCCGGGTCGGTTCTTAAGGACCACTGGGAGGTTCTGGATCTCTGGAGTCCAGAGGAACTCCACTACTCTGAACCAAAGGATCCAGATCAGGAGTTCTGTCCAGCTCTACGTTCTCCAGCTGCTCCTGGAGGATCCAGAGGTTCTCCTGGTCAGAACCAGCAAAACCGTCCTTTGGTTCCTTTTCTTCTTCTCTGGATGTAGAAACATTTTTCTGTGGTGATGGTCTTGATGGCAGCTGCAGGAGAACATCCGTCCCTGCAGCTGGTGGGACGGGTCTCCTTTAGAAGAACATGGATCAGACGCGGTGCTGAAGATCACTGCAGCCTTCAGGAACTGAGGGAACATCCATGTCCTCCTCCATCCACCCTGATCTCCTGCATCATCACCTGCTCCTAACAAGCGGCGCTCGCTGGTTGGTGTGGGACCTCCCTCTGAGGACGGCCTGTTGTCCCGCTGTGGGAGGTTCCCTCAGGTTCCCTCCGTCCTCCAGGGTCACATGACGCCTTTGGACTCCTCAGAACTGCATTGGTGGATCTGGAGACGAAGGCCTGCGTCCTGATTGGCTGAAAGCCGCACCATGAGTCCTTCCCAGATTTAAAATGTTTTGGTTTTAGACCTTCTATAAATCCCTGATTCCAATGTTTGATTTTTGTACACTTTATCTGTTAATAAAGATTTAGCATCTTTTTATTCAAGCTGTGTAATTCTGAGCAGCCTGATGATGTCAGACGTTATTTTGGGATTAAAATGAATTAAAAAGAAGCTTTTCAATGCAGCTAAACTGGTAAAGATGATAGAGACTCATCCTGTAGACTGATGTCTTTTCTGTTCATGTTGAGGCTCTGAATGGCTCCCATAGATCACAAACAGATAGAATCAAACATTGAGCCAAAAGGAAGTTTAAACCAGGATAGACGCAAATTAAAAACAGAAGAATTAAATCACAGATATGAACTAAGTCTCCAGATATGGAGGCTATGCTGGGGTTTGGGTTGGAGACCGGCTGATAGATCAGTTACTCCACAGACTTTACAATTAAAAAAGCAAATAATATTAAAACGATCCGATGTGAAAATGATCAGAATTATTCGGAGGTCAACAGGCGCAAAGTATTTAAGCAAATACTTAAAAACTGGCTTCTCGCCCAGCGGACATTAGGAGGAACATTTTTTACATCATTTAAAACAAAGGGCACTATACACAACTCCTCTGTTTTCATTACTGGATGGATGAAATAATCCAGATCAGCCTGACCACAGTAACCATGGCAACAATGGATCTGAGAGTTATGGCAGTCAGTCCACCTGACCCTCTGTGGGGAGCAGAGCATTCAGCCCAACAGCACCTTGTTTTTGGAATGGTCTACATCCAGAATGCAAAAACAATTCAGTTTATTTCTGTATTCAGAAAATACTGAAAGATTGGTTATATATGTTAAGCATAGAGCTATCTGTACAGGTGCTGGTCATAAAATTAGAATATCATGAAAAAGTAGATTGATTTCAGTAATTCCATTTAAAAAGTGAAACTTGTATATTATATTCATACATTACATACAAACTCATATATTTCAGATGTTTATTTTGTTTAATTTTGATGATTACAAATGACAACAAATGAAAATCTCAAATTCATCATATCAGAAAATTAGAATATTGTGAAAAGGTTCAAAATTGATGGCCCCTGGTGCCACACTCTAATCAGCTAATTAACTCAAACCACCTGCAAAAGCCTTTAAATGGTCTTTCAGTCTAGTTCTATAGGCTACACAATCATGGGGAAGACTGCTGACTTGACAGTTGTCCAAAAGACGACCATCGACACCTTGCACAAGGAGGGCAAGACACAAAAGGTCATCGCTAAAGAGGCTGGCTGTTCACAGAGCTCAGTGTCCAAGCACATTAATAGAGAGGCGAAGGGAAGGAAAAGATGTGGTCGAAAAAAGTGTACAAGCAAGAGAGATAACCGCACCCTGGAGAGGATTGTGAAACAAAACCCATTCAAAAATGTGGGGGAGATTCACAAAGAGTGGACTGCAGCTGGAGTGAGTGCTTCAAGAACCACCACACACAGACGTATGAAAGACATGGGTTTCTGCTGTCGCATTCCTTGTGTCAAGCCACTCTTGAACCACAGACAGCGTCAGAAGCGTCTTGCCTGGGCTAAAGAGAAACAGGACTGGACTGCTGGTGAGTGGTCCAAAGTCATGTTCTCTGATGAAAGTAAATTTTGCATTTCCTTTGGAAATCAAGGTCCCAGAGTCTGGAGGAAAAGAAGAGAGGCACTTCATCCACGTTGCTTGAAGTCCAGTGTAAAGTTTCCACAGTCAGTGATGGTTTGGGGTGCCATGTCATCTGCTGGTGTTGGTCCATTGTGTTTTCTGAGGTCCAGGGTCAACGCAGCCACATACCAGGAAGTTTTAGAGCACTTCATGCTTCCTGCAGCTGACCAACTTTTTGGAGATGCAGATTTCATTTTCCAACAGGACTTGGCACCTGCACACAGTGCCAAAGCTACCAGTACCTGGTTGAAGGACCATGGTATCCCTGTTCTTAATTGGCCAGCAAACTCTCCTGACCTTAACCCCATAGAAAATCTATGGGGTATTGTGAAGAAGAAGATGCAATACACCAGACCCAACAATTCAGAAGAGCTAAAAGCCACTATTAGAGCAACCTGGGCTATCATAACACCTGAGCAGTGCCACAGACTGATCGACTCCATGCCACGCCGCATTGCTGCAGTAATACAGGCCAAAGGAGGCCCAACTAAATACTGAGTGCTGTACATGCTCATACTTTTCATGTTCATACTTTTCAGTTGGCCAACATTTCTATAAATCCTTTGTTTTTATTGGTCTTCAGTAATATTCTAATTTTCTGATATGATGAATTTGAGATTTTCATTTGTTGTCATTTGTAATCATCAAAATTAAACAAAATAAACATCTGAAATATATGAGTTTGTATGTAATGTATGAATATAATATACAAGTTTCACTTTTTAAATGGAATTACTGAAATCAATCTATTTTTTCATGATATTCTAATTTTATGACCAGCACCTGTATAGTTCTGCTGCTATAGGCTTAGACTGCTGGAGGACATAGGGACCCCTTTTTCATCATTCTGCTTCATTCTATCTCTATTCTCCCACTCTGCAGAATCTGTTAGTTCAATCTCTAACGTTCTGCTCTCTCTGCTTTTTCTCATAGTAGCTTCATCTGGTCTGTTCCTGTTTGGCTGTGACTCCATCCTGGAGAGAAATATCAGCTGTGCTGCTGCCATCAACACCTTTGTTTATAGATGTTGGAGCTTGGCCTGTTTTCCAGTGTAGTCCTGTTTCTCTGACTGTGACTAACTGGATGTGGTCTCTTCATCCTCTGACATGGGAGCTGGCTCGGAGCTCGTCTGCCTGGCTGTGTGTTTCCTGGACGGGGCCGCCTGTGGAGCTGGTTGACAGTTGCCTTTTGTATCTATGTTTCTTTTTCTATGTCTGCTTCTGTCTCCTTGAACCCCAGTGGGCCTCAGCAGATGGCCGCTCACACTGAGCCTGGTTCTGCTGGAGGTTTCTTCCTGTTCAAAGGGAGTTTTTCCTCTCCACTGTCGCTACTGTGACACCCAAACTGGGAGAGTGGCTACAGCAGATTCCAGGTAAAACATCAGAGGTCTCTGTCCAGAAGAGCGCAGTCCCAGGAACAGCTAAGATAGAAGAACCCTCAAACTCCCAGGCCTCTGGTAGAGGACCCGAGGATGACACATACCACCCCACCAGGGGTGAGAAAACAGTTTTTTTTATTTTTATTTTTTTTTATATCACTAAATTGTTGTATATAATTGTACCAATTTTACTTTGTTTGCTGAGACGTGAAGAATATTCATATTATCTACAGCAGGATATATTATAATTTATGAGATAATAATAGAGGTTTTATTAATATAGTTAAGCATCAACAATAGTTAACATGTTTCTAATGAATTATTATAAATGTCTTATAGTCTGCTATTAACAAAATTATGACACTATTAATACATATATCGTCTTATTAACACATAATAATGTTAATAAGCACCTGTTAGGCACTTATAAATGTCTTATTACCATAAGACCATAATATAAAGCGTTATCAGCCCTGTTTCTGGTTTGAGTAGCAGCGCATCTTCTGTACTTGGATACCTGATTGAATCGATACGCTCCGAGCCCACATGGGCTGCAGAACACGTTTTAGCGAGAATAATAATAACCATAACTGGAACTGCTAGCAGTTATCAACGTGTTCTAAGCCCAACCATGCCCCGCCCCTCCCAGCATGCCGGGTCCCCATGCTCCTGCAAACCAACATGCAGCTGGAATCGATCCTGAATGGATAATTTGCAGGATAACATTAGAACTTCTTCGCAGTTTGACTGTAAACACAAAAACTTTTCCAGACGATGTAGCAGTTGTTCAATATTGCATAAGAGCTGTTATATCCCAAGGTAGGTCTTGTCTCTTCTATCTGTGGACTTCAAACACGTGTTTTCAAAAGCATTTGAAGACAAGTAATGAAGCGCCTGTGGTTCGTTTCACGAAGCAGGTTTAAATAAACTCAGGATTCAAACCTGCAGCTCTAAATTGATCCAGCCTAAAGTCAGAACCTCTGAGTTTCCATTTTCCAAAGGCTGCTAAAAACTAGTTTAATCAAGTCAAGTAGAACCACTCACAGTTAAAATTAAAAAAACAAACATTGTACTAGTAAAAAATACGTTTTATGTAGAAACGTTTACAGATTTTAAGCGGCCATTGTGGGATTTATCAGCTTGACTGAAAATGTATTTATGATATCTGGGATACATTTCTTCATTGTCAAAATAATACAGATAAAAACCAGTAATAATAGGAATATGGGAATCTGAAATGAATTCCAGACATCCAGAAAGTTTATTCTAGATGTGAAGGGCGTCTTTTTGTTTGCAGTTGTCATTCTGACAAGGAATTTTTTTTTTTAGATATCAAGAATACCTATTCAGGAATACTAATACATATCAAATCGGCTTGCCACAGATGTTGTCACGGTGAAAATATTGTGTTTATTTCTTGAATGGTCGTAGATCAGTGGATCTATTTAGGTGAAATCATCTGTCAGCAGGTGAAGATGAAGAATAAAGACGTTATTCTAATAAATAGAACCTGTTCATCATCTCATGGGTTCCTCCTCATGTTGATTCAGTCTCTTTTACTCAGTAAATCAGTGGCTGTTTGCTGCAGCGTTTCAGATGTTATCGTCCCAATAAATGGTCGTTATTAGCGGCTATCAGTCCCATAGAACGGCTTCAGATTGGGCCAGTAGGCTCAGTAGGTTGGTATCAACCAGTGAATTTAATCCTAAAGTAATTCTTCTTCCCTGTGGAATTAATGAATCTATTTATGTGGAATCTGCAAATAATTTCAGCAGTTCTTTATCTACTGTAAACAAAGTAAACAAACCAAAAACAAATTAATCTCATATCCTGTCAGTCTCAGTAGAATCCTCTCCCTTTAGCTCTCTGTGAATTAATGCCGATCATTCTTTAATAAGATCCTCGTCAAACGGACATGCAAGGTTTATTTCTAATAAATAACTGCGTGTCTAAGGACCTACTAAATTATGTTTTGATCATATGAACACAATTACAACCAAACTCTCCTGATTAAATCAGGAAATCAAACGGTATTATTGGCTGTAAGGAGACAGAAGACAGTCTGAGTTTAATGAAGGAAACCTTTAAACTTAACACCGTCTAAAAGGCTGGAGTGAGAAAGTCTTGTTAACACCTTAAAACCCACCACGTCGTCGGCGGACCAGTTGGTTTTAAGTGGAGGTAATAACTCAGAATGCATAAAATTCCGCCGGTAAAATGTTTAACCAGCAGGTGGAGCCATTGCGCGCAGCTCCAAGCTGACACCAGAAGTTCCAAACCCCACAGCTCTGGAACTGTTGGAGCTAAAGGTCTGAAATTTTCTGCATTTGTGGTTAAAATGATGTAGAACACATAGGATAGAATAAAAACTGCTTTTTCTCAAGAATGTCTTTATTACTGCTGTTCAAAAAATACCCATCATTTCAAGAATGAAAAGCAACTTTGAGTCATGTTTGAACTGATGCAGGTTGGTCTGTGTTCTAGTCTCCCAATTTTGCGATCAAAATTAAACGTCTCTGCAGTTTGAAAACTGTCACTTTAAATCTTAGTTTATTGCAAAGCTAATTAATTGTCCATTTTATTTAGACTGATTAAATCAATTATTGTGAATTCAGCACTAGAGAAAGACTCAGAGGGGAGATCAAAGCACTTTAATGAAGACAGGAACCAGCAGAAGGTTAACGAGGGATGGGTGGGCGGGGCTCGTTTAGAGGGGTGGAGTCCCACACCCTAAGGCACTTAGAAAGAGTGGGTGATGAAGGGGCGGGGCTTCATGGACAGGGGGCGGGTCTTACAGGAAGGCATCGCACCACTCCTTCAAGCACTGAGCACAGGATCCAGCCTGCCGAGAGTTGGCGCCGCTGGCATCTTTCAGCCAATCAGTGAACATCTCTGTGTCCTTCTTCAGCAGCAGGAACTGACCCAGAACCACAGAGGCCTGGAAACACAGAACCGAACAAGATAAGATTCTGGGACCAAAAAACCTAAAGACAAAACACCAACGTTTGCACCAAAATACCAAATGGACCTGTTAGAGTTCTGACCCAAACCCTCAGGATGGATTTAAAGATCCTCTACATGAATGTTTAGACCAACAACAGGAAACGATCGAGTCCTTCCTGGTTCAGAACATTGATGTAAAGTCCAGCAGCAGCAGGCTGTGGTTCTGCTGTCGGAGCAGAACCTGAACCTCACATCTGTTCTGGTTCTGGGAGGAAGCAGCAGATCCAAGGCTCCTCTGGGTTTTACCTTGTCAAAGCCCTGATCCTCCAGCTTCTTCCCCAGAGTCTCTCCGATTCCGGACAGCGCCGTCACCGGTTTGTCTCCCATTGGTTCTGCCACAAAATCCCGATGCTTCTGGGATGTGGTGGACATCCTGCGGGGAAAGCAGAAGGTCAGGTTCTCAGCTCCTCTTCAAACACTAGACCTGGCGGGACATCCGGCTGAGGACCATCCAACGCTGGATGTGGCGTCATCAGGTTCCTGCAGAGGTTGGACCCGGTTCAACAGCGGTGAATCAGTGGTTCCATTGGGTCCAGTTAGCCGCTCAGACCCAGAAACCTCACAGAACTTCATGTCTGAGGAACAACTAATTGACCCAGAACCAGCATTCAGATCCTACAGAACTACGGATGTAACCAATGAACCAGTTCACCTGAAGTTTATGGATCTGATCGACAATCAATCCATAAGCAGCCATTTTATTAAGGAATAAACTTCTAATGTCGCATTTTTTTGGCCAATTCATTGAATAAACAAAAGGGTTGACATACATAAAAAAGAAACAGGAAGTCTTGATGAATGGAATAACATTTATGGATCAGGTTTGATCTCATTAGCAGACCCTGAAAACATTGATGATGAAGGACGTCGCTGTGATTCACCGTCAGATTTTACTGCCACTTCCTGTCTCTGATGACGACGCCAACTGTGGACTAGCTCTCTGTTCCCATGACCGTGTCTGAATGTTCGCCATCTATATGCCATCTTTTCAGCGGGGAATGGAGAAGTAGTGGATGAAAAATTTCCCACAATGCACCTTGAAAAGTAGTGATTATCCATGGTCACTATACGAGCAGATATATCCTAGTAATGCTTTGCAGGAGCTTCTTGTCACATGACTAATGAACGCGGCGCGAAGATTATTGTAGATCCATCTGAACGATCAGGCAACTGGGGTCACTATATAATGATGGAGGGGTCAGAGGTCAGGACGAATGTTTGGACACAACCTTAATGCTGTTAAGACATGAGCCGAGGCATTTGAGGTGTGTGTTGAGTAATGGAGGGGGGAGTTTCCCTGAAGTGCGTGTGGAGGCGTGATTCATTTAGAGGAGGGGCCAAAATTGATGATGTCTGAAGCCTCTCTACTGTGAAACCAGGTGACCACTTCGGTAAATGGTTCAGACCACACGAGAACTTTGACAGGCATTTAAACAGCCTCAAGGGCTGGTTATCCTCCGGCAGCAGTGTGTCGCAGTTAGCTTGTGCAGGTACGACGCAGATATTTAGATTTATGGCCAATATTGAAGCGTGGTCTGCGCTCTGTTATTCCACAACGCAAGAACTAGCTGGGATAGTGGGTGTCCGTGTGATGAGCTTGTTCGCCGTCTACAACCCCTCATCCAACGCCGGACGTCACACGGTTCCCCCGTGAGTGTTCCCCAAAGACTGGCCGTGGCGCTGCGTGTTTTGGCTTCGGGTGCGAACCAACAGACCGTCGCACAGAGCTACAAACTAGCGTCCTGCACGGTGTCTCGGATAGAGTCCGAGGTGAGCCAGGCGCTGTGTACGGCACTACACCCAGAGTTCTGCCATTAGGGACCAAACAGGACATAGTGTAGAGTGGGTGTAGAATTGACCAATCAGAAGCCTCTTGTCTGCGGCGTCTACGGTCACCTACAGTTTTGGGGAGGTGCAACAGAGTGTCTGTTGAGGGGCGGGGGAATCATACCTTTGTTAACTGCGACAAAGAAGCAGATGACCTGGTTTCTGAGAATAAACCAGGCTTCAGTCAAAATGTGGGAGTTTGTAGGAGAGCTGCTGTCATAGATTCTAAAAATACAGTCATGGTCAAAAGTTTTTAGAATGATTCAAATGTTAATATTCACAAAGTCTACTGCTTCAGTTTTTATAACAGCAATCTGCATAAACTCCAGAGTGTTCTAAAGAGTGATCAGCGTAACAGCAATTAATTGCAAAGTCAATATTTGCCTAGAAAATGAACTTTATCCCCAAAACACATTTCAACATCATTGCTTTCCTGCCTTAAAGGAGCAGCTAACATGTTTCAGTGATTGCTCCATTAACACAGGTGTGGGTGGTGATGAGGACAGGGCCGGAGATCAATCTGTCAGGATTCAGTCAGAATGACGCCACTGGACACTTTAAAAAGAGGCTGCTGCTTGGCATCATTGCTTCTCTGTTGTGAACTATGGTTATCTCTAAAGAAACACATGCAGTCATCATTGCACTGCAAAAAAATGGCCGAACAGGAAAGAGAATGGCAGCTAGAAAGATTGCACCTCAGTCAGCAATCTATGGCATCGTCAAGAACTTCAAGGAGAGAGGTTCCATTGTTGCCAAAAAGGCTCCAGGGCTCCCAAGAAAGACCAGCGAGCGCCAGGACCGTCTCTGAAAAGTGTTTCAGCTGCGGGTTCGGGCTACCAGCGGTGCAGAGCTTGCTCAGGAATGGCAGCAGGCAGGTGTGAAAGCATCTGCACGCACTGTAAGGCGGAGACTCTTGGAGCAAGGCCTGGTCTGAAGGAGGGCAGCAAAGAAGCCACTTCTCTCCAGGAAAACCATCAGGGACAGACTGATATTCTGCTAAAGGTACAGGGAGTGGACTGCTGAGGACTGGGGGAAAGTCATTTTCTCTCAGCAATCCCCTTTACCATTGTTTGGGACATCTGGAAAACAGCTGGTTGGGAGAAGACGAGGTGAGCGCTACCACCAGTCTGGTCTCATGCCGACTGTAAAGCATCCTGAAACCATTCATGTGTGGGGTTGCTTCTCAGCCAAGGGAGTCGGCTCTCTCCCAGTCTGACCTAAAAACAGCCATGAATAAAGAATGGAACCAGAATGTCCTCCCAGACCAACTTCTCCCAACCGTCAAAGAGCAGTTTGGTGATGAACGATGCCTTTTCCAGCATGATGGAGCACCTCGCCATAAAGCAAAGCTGATATCTAACTGGCTCAGGGAACAAAACAGAGAGATGTTGGGTCCATGGCCTGGAAACTCCCCTGATCTTAATCCCATTGGAAACTTGTGGTCAATCATCAAGAGACGGGCGGACAAACAAAAACCTTCTTACTAAATGCAAGCATTGATTGTGCAGAATGGACGCTATCAGTCAGGATTTGGTCCAGAAGTTGATTGAGAGCAGCCGGGGAGAATAGCAGAGGTCCTGAAGAAGAGGAATCAACTCTGCAAATATTGACTTGCTGCATTAACTCATTCTAACTGTCATTAAAAGCTTTGGTTACTCAGAATATGATGCAATTGTATTTCTGGATGTGATGCAACATCTGACATGGAAACCAGAGGGCAGCAGATCAGGTGAAAATACAATATTTGTGTCATTCTCAATACTTTTGGCCATGACTGTAGATTGGTTTGTTATCCAACTATAATTTGGTGAGATAAACAATGTAATGATCAGAATCTGAGAAAGCCACTGATTCCAGCTGTAACATTAGTACTAAGCAATGTTTCTTTCTATTGTACAGTTGCTATTGGCAATAGCATCAGCTGTAAGACATTAACTTCCAATGCTGATGCCGACGGTTCAAGACCCACCTGGACTTTTTTTGTTTTGTTTTGTTTTTAAGTTGTCTATATACTTAACAAGTATTTTGGCTAATGTGACTAGTTTGTATTGGTTTGTCCAAGTAAAAATAAAGATTGGGTAAAAACTCTGCCAAATTAGATTGGTTGGTTTAACCAAAAGATTAGTTGAACACATAACGTCCAACCCGATTAAAACCAAAAACTGTGGAAAAACTATAATTCGTACGCCTTCACTGTTTGCTTATTTCACTAAACTTACAGAAAAAACAGTGAACCTTAAATGATTTTTCTCTTCTAGGAAATATTTACAATAAACAAAACCTAAAAAAAGATTTTATTATACATACCAATCATAAATTTCAAAGGAACTTAAATGGGAAAATAACAAGAAAAACAACTGCAAAAAAATCCCAGATTCTATTACTAACTGTAGTTCTGCCGTCCACCAGTAGGTGGGGACATATTCACATGAAGCTTCATGAACTGTGGGGATCGTTGAAGCAATTTGGCCAAAACGGTTCAACGAGGCTTCATCTCACCATGACTAAGGTGCTTCCAAACTACAAAGGGTGACTCAAAAAAAGTTAAAATCAATCCACTGGACTTTGTTTCCAAGTTTGAAGACGTTTCTCTTCCATCCAGGAAGCTTTTTCAATTCAAAATGTCAGAAATAGCGTTGAGTTCCAATAATAATCCTGACATTTCAAATGGAAAAATCTTCCTGGATGGAAGAGAAACGTCTTCAAACTTGGAAAACGAAGTCCAGCTGATTGTTTTTAACTTTTTTGGAACGACTCTGACCTGGATGACTGAGAATCTTCACCAACACATGGAAGGTTACAATGGCCACAGTAAATAAATATATTTAAATGTGGCATTAATTTATTAAAACTAAAAAAAAAATTTTTTTTTAAAGTCTTTTATTTAATAAACACAATTAGTGTCGTTATTATTATCTTAGTTATATTCATTTGATTTTAAGAAGCAGTGAAACCATAAAATAATTCAAACTGCTACAAGCTCATCAAAGCCAAGAAGGCGGGACTAGAGCTGCCGTCATAGAGACACTGATGTCTGATTGACTGCTTCTCAATAAGAAAGATAAGGGATGTTTTTTTTTTTACTCAAGTTAAATCATTTTCTGATGTGTTGTCACTAATTTCCACTCCAGCCTTTTTATACAGTTTGGTCTCTAAAGCGAGGATGAAAGTGGGCGGGGCTAACTGTGATTCAAGCGCTCTGAGGATTAATTAAATAGATTTTAGAGGCTGGAGTCGCTCACAGCTCCTGTAAATAAATGGAAACACATTTTAGAAATTATTTCCACCTTTCCTGCTGATAAAACTGACTTTAACGTAAAAGAAGTTTAGCTCAGTGAGAAGCAGCCAATCAGACGTCACAGTTTCTATGGATTTCTGTTCAATTAATTTATGGTGTAGAACTACTTCAACAGTGGAACATTAAATAATTTATCACGCTATAAAATAAGATCTATATTTATATTTGAGGCCTAAATAATATTTATATATTAATTAATAAAATCTATATCCAGGTTTATTAAAATAACACTTTATTAAATGTGGCACTCACTGCCCTCCATACAAGACGGCTGGTTCTGGTTCTGGTTGATCTCAAATGAATGTTAGAACCGGAAGTAATCTTCCTAATCTTCATCACATCCTCACCTTCCTCAGTGCTGCTCTGCATTAAGAGTTTCTGAGCAGCTGCAGACTTTAATAAACCAGTAAAACCAGTAAAACCAGCAGCTCCACCAGAACCACTGGGACACCTCAGAGTAGAGCCGTTTGGTCAGAACCGGTCCTTACCTGCTGGACCTCACCTGCTGCTCCTCAACTGGACCTGTGGAAAACAAACTGTCAGAACCACGTGGTCCACGGCAGGCAGCTTCACGTGGGCGGACTCACCTGGACCCAGAAAGCCCTGAAAGTTCTGCAGAACCAGGAGAACCTGCAGGAGCCCAGCGGAACCAGAACCTGGAAAAGTTCTGCAGAACCACAGAAACTACGATAAGCAGACAGAGAGGCGTTTTATTCTGAAGGCTTCACGCTGGGGCCGCTCAGAGAATCTGGGATGACGTCATGACGCACAGAGTAACAGATGGTTTGTGGTGAAGATGAGTCACTCTGATGCGACCCTGGGTTTATGCTCTGATCGGAACCAGTCCGACGGTGACCCGGTCAGGAAACCCACCCAGATATACAATATTAGAGTTTATGAGGCTGGAATGTTTAAAATGTGATACAGTTTAGTTTCATAGATCGGTTTGTGATTCCTAATTAATACTAATTAAAACGCTGGTGAAGATTCTCAGTCATCCAGAGTCATTCCATAAAAGTTCAAATCAACGGTTCGTCAGGGGCGGAGCTAGATGGGGGGTCAGGGGTGGCCATGGCCTCCATTAGCCCATCATTAGCCGCCCCTGTGGCCACCTCTACCATTTTCCCTCTAATATAGACAGTGGCAGCAGTAATACTCTGAAGTGGAATATTAAATTTAATTTTTCATATATTAACAATTACATGACAGCAAAACCACTGTGGTCAAATAAGCACATCAATAAACTAACATTAAAGATGAAAAGTACAGAATTCCTGCTCTTTTCAGAGCTAGATTTGTGTTTTATGGGGTAAAGAGAAAATGATGCATCTCTGCTGGTAATCTAGGAGTCTACAGTGAAATTATAGATTAACATGTTAATAAAAGTTAATAATTAATTTATATAGATATTAGTACTTGTAAATTGGACGCCCTTAGAAACATTTTCTAGCTACGCCTCTGCCGTTCATCCGTTTCTATTTGCATCTTTTCTAAATAAAACCAGGCTTTGTTGGGCTGCTGGATAACACCTGGAACTCAACGCTATTTCTGACATTTTGAATTGAAAAAGAACATCTTCGAACTTGGAATCAAAGTCCAGAGGATTGTTTTTTTTTTTTTTTTTTTAATACTAATTAAAACCCCTTTCCACTTCCTTCTACCTAAACTCTGTGTATATTTCTTCCTGTTGTTTTTATTTAACTCCTAAAATGGTTAAATGCTCTTTAAGGTCTCAGGATAAATGTCACTGATCTGCTGATTTTCCAGCTAAAGGACCCAGAAAACCCTCAGAGTGAGAACTCTTCCTCTGTTCCTCACTCTTTGTTCCACATTCCTCTGTGTTTGTCTCTAGGCCACGCCCCCCGGGCCTCCCCTGTTTTCCCTTGCTGCTCCACCTGACAGGTGGGCCTCTTTCCTCGGGTCCCCGCAGCCCACCCACTCCCACCCCCCCACATCCAACATGGCGGCTCCGCTGAGCGACCACGAGAAGCGGAAACAGATCAGCGTCCGCGGCATCGCGGGTCTCGGAGACGTCGCGGAGATCAAGCGAAGCTTCAACCGACATCTGCACTTCACGCTGGTCAAAGACCGGAACGTGGCCACCCCACGCGACTACTTCTTCGCGCTGGCCCACACCGTCCGGGACCAGGTCGTCGGCCGCTGGATCCGGACGCAGCAGTACTACTATGAGAAGGACCCGAAGGTAAGAGCCTGCAGAACTCCGCCTGGAAACAAGCGACTCCAGCTTCCTCCCAAGTTTTCCTCAACAAACGTGTTAAACAGTCAAAGCGACGCTCTGGTTCGGTTCTTTAGAACTCAAACAGGAGTTCGGCTCAAACCAAACCTGAATCCGTTTCTTTAGTGGACTTTGAAGCCTCTTTTCTGCAGTGAACCCCCGAGCTGCTGCAGCGGGAAGCTGCAGGGATCAGACTTTGCTGATCTCCACTAGTTCTGAGCTCTGAGCCGATTTCAGCCCGAGACTAAACTAAACCCGAAACGATCAGAACCGAACCCATTTCACTGGAACACAGCGAGCTGATGGGAAGTTAGAGGAAGACCTCTGAGTTCTGAATGGAGTCTGGTGGGACTTTCTGGTTCTGACTACTGGTTCCTAGAATTTCCTAAAGTAGGAGGCAGATCTCAGGTTATCTCTGCTATAGGCTTAGACTGCTGGAGGACATAGGGACCCCTTTTTCATCATTCTGCTTCATTCTATCTCTATTCTCCCACTCTGCAGAATCTGTTAGTTCAATCTCTAACGTTCTGCTCTCTCTACTTTTTCTCATAGTAGCTTCATCTGGTCTGTTCCTGTTTGGCTGTGACTCCATCCTGGAGAGAAATATCAGCTGTGCTGCTGCCATCAACACCTTTGTTTCTAGATGTTGGAGCTTGGCCTGTTTTCCAGTGTAGTCCTGTTTCTCTGACTGTGACTAACTGGATGTGCTCTCTTCATCCTCTGACATGGGAGCTGGCTCGGAGCTCGTCTGCCTGGCTGTGTGTTTCCTGGACGGGGCCGCCTGTGGAGCTGGTTAACAGTTGCCTTTTGTATCTATGTTTCTTTTTCTATGTCTGCTTCTGTCTCCTTGAACCCCAGTGGGCCTCAGCAGATGGCCGCTCACACTGAACCTGGTTCTGCTGGAGGTTTCTTCCTGTTCAAAGGGAGTTTTTCCTCTCCACTGTCGCTACAAGCATGCTTAGTGTGAGGGATTGCTGAAGAGTCAATGAGTCGATGCAATCAGCTGGTTTTTCTTAGATAGAAAACTTTGAATCAATCTGACTGGATGATCTGGTGAACTGGAAAGTGACCTGAGATGACATGATGTGAATTGGAGCTATAGAAATACACTGAATAGAATAGAATTGTGGTGGGGTTCTATTGTATCGTTTTCAGTGACGTCAGACAGGAAACAGGAAGCTGAGATGAGGTGTGACCTCAGCGTGTTTCTGGATCCAGTCTGGTTGGTTCTGATCCAGGCTGTTTTGGGTCACACCGTGTTCTGCTGGTCAGACTGGGAGCACCGAGTCCTCCAGGTCCCTCCTGACCCTCCTGTTTGTGTTCTGTCCACAGAGGGTCTACTACCTGTCCCTGGAGTTCTACATGGGTCGGGCTCTGCAGAACACCATGATCAACCTGGGCCTGCAGAACGCCTGCGACGAAGCTCTGTACCAGGTAGCGCTTCTGACCCGTTGCATTGCGGCGGAAGCGGGTCCGTGTCTGTTCCTCTGACCCGGTTCTGATGTCTGCAGCTGGGCCTGGACATCGAGGAGCTGGAGGAGATCGAGGAGGATGCCGGACTGGGAAACGGCGGACTGGGAAGACTGGCGGGTAAAACCCAGACCAGCCAGCTAGCTCCTTCCTGTTTGAGCGACTACCACTTCCTGTTTCTTCTTCCTGTGTGCAGCGTGTTTCCTGGACTCCATGGCGACCCTCGGCCTCGCCGCCTACGGTTACGGGATCCGCTACGAGTTCGGCATTTTCAACCAGAAGATCCGTGACGGCTGGCAGGTCGGGTCACCTGCTGCAGGTTCCACAATTCTGACCGAGTTCTACTGATGTGCTGAAATGAAGCTCCGCCCCCTACAGGTAGAGGAGGCAGATGATTGGCTGCGGTACGGGAACCCTTGGGAGAAGGCGCGGCCGGAGTACATGCTGCCGGTTCATTTCTACGGCCGAGTGGAGAACGTGGAGAACCGGATGAAGTGGACCGACACTCAGGTTGGGAGGTCCTGGTTCTAATCGGGTCGGCGTTCCAAACCCTGACCTGTGTTTGCCTGTAGGTGGTGCTGGCGATGCCCTACGACACCCCGGTTCCTGGTTACCATAACAACACGGTGAACACCATGAGGCTGTGGTCGGCCAAGGCTCCCAATGACTTCAGCCTGCAGAACTGTGAGTCTAGATCCGCTTTCCACTGGCAGAACTCTGATAGATCCGGTTTGCTCAGAGGAACTGTCGCCAATCTGAGGTCCGGTTCTGGTCGCCGTTAGAACTGGAAGCTGCTCCTCCGTCTGTTGGACGTAGACGGATCCAAACTGAGCCCAGAGAGGCGGAACCGAATCCATCTCCTGGTTCCTTTTAGTCCTCGCTCTAATTTAACCACAGAAGAAGAAGCTCAACCCACAACCTGTAGAATTGGTTCCCTACGTTTCCTGCAGGTCCGGTTCTGGTTCTGGTCCTGATCTTCTGCTTCTGTCTGCCTCCCAGTTAATGTTGGCAATTACATCCAGGCCGTCCTGGACAGGAACCTGGCTGAGAACATCTCCAGAGTCCTGTACCCCAACGACAACGTGAGTCCGACTCGTCCGGGCTGAACCGTAGAACCGCTCGGTTCTGATCCGTCTTTTTCTGCTCAGTTCTTTGAGGGAAAGGAGCTGCGCCTGAAGCAGGAGTACTTCGTGGTCGCCGCCACCTTGCAGGACATCATCCGCAGGTTCAAGTCCTCCAAGTTCGGCTGCAGGGATCCGGTCCGAACTTCCTTTGACACGTTTCCTGAAAAGGTGAGGAGTTCTCGGAAGCTTCCTTGCGTCTTCGGGAAGCTAAGCGCGTCTTTCCGTCCGTCCCTCCAGGTGGCGATCCAGCTGAACGACACCCACCCGGCTCTGGCCATCCCGGAGCTGATGAGGATCCTTGTGGACATAGAGAAGCTGGACTGGGACAAGGTCAGAGGTCTGGAACCGTCTCAGGGTTTGTAGGACGTCCTGACTAAGAGTGTCTCTGTCCGTCCAGGCCTGGGACATCACGCGTCGGACCTGTGCCTACACCAACCACACGGTTCTGCCTGAGGCCTTGGAGCGCTGGCCGGTCCAGATGTTCGAGCGGCTGCTGCCTCGCCATCTGCTCATCATCTACGAGATCAACCGGAGACACCTGGACGTAAGGCCCCGGGGCCCCCTGCAGCAGCTCCAGAGCGTCCCCTGTCCCTAATGACCCTGTGTCCCACAGCTGATCGCGGCCATGTTCCCTGGAGACGTGGAGCGTCTGCGGCGGATGTCTCTGATCGAGGAAGGAGACCCGAAGAGGATCAACATGGCTCACCTGTGCGTGGTGGGATCCCACGCCGTCAACGGAGTGGCTCAGATCCACACGGACATCGTGAAGACCAGTGTGTGAGTCCTTACTAAAGACGATCTGAGACGTTGTCCCTGCTGGACGCTCTAGAACGTCCTCCTTCTCCTGCAGGTTCAGAGACTTCCACCAGGTGGATCCTGAGAAGTTCCAGAACAAAACTAACGGCATCACTCCGCGGCGTTGGCTGCTCC